ATGCGGGCCTCTCACTGTTGTGGCCTCTCCCGTTGCGGAGCAACAGGCTCCGGACATGCAGGCTCAGCAGCCATGGCTCACGGGCCCAGCTGCTCTGCGGCATGTGGGATCTTCCCGGACCGGGGCATGAACCCGTGTCCCCTGCATCGGCAGGCGGACTCTCAACTGCTGCGCCACCAGGGAAGCCCCAGGGGTATGATTTTTTGGTTTTGGTGATATTCATGAAATGTCTAAAGAAACAATGACGACTTTTGATAATATCAAAGTTTGGCTCTGCTGTCATCCTGAGAAGTTAGGGGTGTGCCCCAAACATCCCTGGCTCTTTCTCCCCAGTATTAGGCCACTTTATCTTGACGGTGATTAGTTAATCTGATCTCATAGAGATGAGTAGAAATGTGCAGACCTAGGAGGCCAGCCAACGCTGGCCCCCCTGCCGGCCCCTCCCTCACACACGCAGCGATCGGCAGTGTCAGATGCAGCAGCGCTCAGGGTGCGGGGCTCGGGGTGAAACGGCCTTCGCACCCCAGGCTTCCTCCTCGGAATCCTCCCTAGTGAACAGGAGGAAAATGAGGGTATGAGCCACTGGCGCTCGGGAAGGACCGTGGGCGTGAAGCTGCCTTCAGTCGGGGGCACTCTGGCCCCTAAACAGTTAAATGGAATTCCGAGATCTTGGGGTGGGAGCGAGGTGGAAGAAAGAAGAGAAATAGGAGAGAGGGAATTGTGTTGGCGATGGCTTGGGATTTATTTATTGTGCTCGCTGTTGATGAAGCCCGCTCACTCCGCAGCAGGCGCAGGGCTGGTAAATACACAGGCTGATTCATTAGTTTCTGACCATCTGCTTCCCGGGCTGAGGCCGGAGCGGGGGCGGGGGGGGGGGCAGTGAGCCCTGCAGGTTAGGGCAGCTTGGCTCTGGCAGCCAGGTTGGAGCCCCCCATCCCTTGGCAGAGCCGGCTGTGTCAGTCTTCCTGATGACAGACAGGCCGGGTGCAGGGGGGTGGTGAGGGATCCAATGTCCCGCCATGGGGACCACAGGAGGCTGGGCAGGTGAGGGAACGTAGGCAGGGGGGATGGAGAAGGACCCGGGGAGGGAATTCCCTGGATGTCCAGTGGTTAGGACTCGGCGCTCTCACTGCGGAGGGCCCAGGTTCAATCCCTGGTCGGGGAACTAGGGTCCCGCAAGCCACGCGGTGTGGCCAAAAAAAAAGAAAAATAAAAAAGGACCAGGGGAGAGGTGAGGTGTTTCACAGCAGCTGGGGGATGACAGGAATTATATCAACATTCCATATGAGGCCTATTACTATTAATCTAATATCATTCTATTAATAACTAATTAATAGGATGACCAAATAACTGTAACTTAGTGACTGGTTACTGAGGTCCAAGCCCTATAGGGAGGCTTCACTACACTGTCCCAGATAAGCACACTAACGATCCTGTGATGAATGACGAGGGAACTGGGTTCAAAAATGAATCAGGCAAGGAGGGCTTCCTGGAGGAAGTACATGGGGAAAGCTCTAAAAACCCAGAGGAGGGAAAGCAGCTGCAGGGGCACAAGCTCAGAGGTGAGAGGGGATGAGACAGCCGGGGAAAAGGCCCAGCTTCAGTGCTGGGTGGATAGCTTTCCAGGTGGGCAGAGTAGCATGATGCCACCTGGTGCCAGCGTATTGAGGAGCAGGCTGGTAGAGGAGGGCCCCAGAGAGAGCGTCTGGCCTGTTCCTCCCACCCTGACCCACGCTTTGCTCACTTGGGGTGAGGCATGTATCAGTTTGCTAGGGCCTGGGTGGCTTAAACCACAGAAATTTATTTTCTCAGGTTCTGGAGGCTGGAAGTCCAAGGTCAAGGTCTGACCCTTGAAAACCAAGGCAGGCTGGTTTCTTCTGAGGCTTCTCTCCATGACTTGCCGATGGGCCCCTCTTGCAGCATCTTCACATGGTCGTTCTGTGTGCACGTGCCCCAGGGGTCTGTGTATCCAAATTGCCCCTTCTTGTAAGGACACCAGTCAGATTGGATTAGGGCCCACCCTGAGGGCCTCATTGTAATGTAATCACCTTTAAAGGCCCTATTTCCAAACACAGTCACATTCAGAGGTGCTGGGGGTTAAGGCTTCAACATATGAATTTGGGGGGCGGGGGCGCACAGTACACTCCATAACAAGTTGCCAGGGGCGGCATAAGAAGGGAAGCTGTGGGAAGAGGATGATTGCTGGGTCGGGGGAGGGGAGGATGCCCACTTGGGTACAAACTGTGTCTTCCGGTCCCCAGTGTCCAGGTGTGAGCTCTGAGCCAGCTGAGGGCCTGGGGAGCGGGCTGTACCCCACAGGCAGGCCTGCCCTCCTTTCATCACCAGGCCTGGACTCTACAAGCCACTGAGCCATTCCCATGGGGACTTTCAGCCTCTCCCCGTACCGGGCGACGTCACAAGAGCACCAGCTGGAGTACGGGGAAGCTTGGACCCCCATGGGCCGAGCCAGGCCCCTCTCCCTGCCATGTTGTGTGTGAGGTCCCTAGAGTTCCAGAACACCTCTGAGGTTGTCCAGGACACAAGCAGGCTCGTCCTCAAACCGCTCCCACCCTCAGGGAGTCCTGGGCCAGTCCTGCCCCACCCTGGGCCTCGGTTTCCCCATTTGCTCAGTGAGGGGGGTGGACTCAATGCTGTACCCCTTCCACCCCAAGTTTTCCGGGTCCTGGGAATCAGCAGGTCTGGCCAGGTGGGGTGGATAGTGGTACCACAGGGGACCCAGGACAGAGCTATTTTGGTGGAACCTGCCTCAGTAAACCCCAGAGCCAACCTGCCCGCTGAGGATCCCTGGGTGGCCTAGGAACTGGTCCTCCACTAACGGGCTTCAAAGGTGATGGCCCAAGGTCGCTGCGGTGATGCCGGCTCAGCCCCTCGGGAGACAAGGCGCCCGCTGCCACTGGGAGCCAAATGCCTCATTTTAGAATGTGAGGCTTTAACTCAGATCGAAGCCGCTTTGTGTCTGAGCAAACCAGGGCCCTGAAATATTCATCAAAGGAGCTGCAATTGGTCTGGGGCGCGTACGGTTCTTAGTGACAGTGTTTCCTTTTAATTAATAGCCTTTATTTTTTAGAGCAGTCTTAGGTTTACCGAAAATGGAGCAGACAGTCCAGAGAGCTCCTAAGACCCGTTTCCCCACACAGTTGCCCCATCATTAACAGCCTGCATTAGCGTGGTACCTTTGTTACATGGACGTGTTGTTATTAACGCAAGCCCACGATGACAGTAGGGTTCCCTCTTGGCGTTGCACAAATGTACCATGTCATTTATCCAGCATGACAGTGTCATACAAGATGGCTTCACTGCCCTAAAAATTCCCTGGGCTCCCCCCTACTCATCCCTCCAACCCCCGGCGACCACCACGTTAGTGATATTTTCAGGCCTCTGGGTGAGTTCACACGGCAGACCAGACCCAGGGGATGGATTTGAACTGCGGAGGAGGGAAACCCCGGCTGGAGCCCGCTGGGCCAGGGAGTGGGCTGCCAGCTTTCGGAGGCGGGGGTGAGGGGAGAGGAAGCATGTGGGGGCCGTACCCTGCCTTCCCCAGCCAGTGTCCCCCACTGGGCCTGCCAGGCACGTGCCGAGGACCCGGAAAGGACTGCCACAAGACGCACCCCCTTGAGAGGAACCCGGGCTGTGCGTGAGGCAGACACGCGTGCTATGGGGACAGAGAGCGGGCCCCAGTGACAGGCAGGCCACAGTGCGGCCCCCAGCTCTTCCTAGCAGGGCCTCGGGCAAGGGCCACCGCCTTCCAAAGCCCGGATTGCTTCATCCCGAGCACGGAGAGTTGACACTCCCACACTGTGAGTATTGGCGGTGAGCTAGTTACTAAACAGGAGAGAAATGAGATAATGTGCTGGGCACCAGGTGGCCTTCATCCACCGCCCCTCCTGTTGCTACTAATTGTATTGTCTGAAGGGTCGAGAAGGCGTCTCTGTGTAGGAGATGTTTCAAGAGTCAAATGACCATCAACAGATGAATGGATAAAGAAGACGTGGCACGTATATACAATGGAACATTACTCAGCCATAAAAAGAAACAAAATTGAGCTATTTGTAGTGAGGTGGATGGACCTAGAGACTGTCATACAGAGTGAAGTAAGTCAGAAAGAGAGAAACAAATACCATATGCTAACACATATATATGGAATCAGAAAAAAATGGTGCTGAAGAACCTAGGGGAAGGGCAGGAATGAAGACGCAGACGTAGAGAATAGACTTGAGGACACGGGGAGAGGGAAGGGGCAGCTGGGACGAAGTGAGAGAGTGGCATGGACATATATACACTACCAAATGTAAAACAGATAGCTAGTGGGAAGCAGCCGCATAGCACAGGGAGATCAGCTCGGTGGTTTGTGACCACCTACAGGGGTGGGATAGGGAGGGTGGGAGGGAGGTTCAAGAGGGAGGGGATATGGGGATATACATATGCATATAGCTGATTCACTTTGTTATACAGCAGAAACTAACACACCATTGTAAAGCAGTTATACTCCAATAAAGATGAAAAAAAAGTGTGAGTAGGAATTTGGAGGCAGACAGAGAGTGGAAGGGCATGTCGAGGAGCAGGGATGCCATCTGCAAAGGCTCAGAGGCACAGACAAGGGAGGCCTGGAGGACAGGAGTGCTCAGGTGGGAGACCAGGAACGGTGGCTCCAGATATGGCGGGAGGAGGTCAGAGGTAAAGCGGTAGGGCTTTATCCTCCGGGCAGTGGGGAGCCACGGAGGGTCTCGGAGCAGTGACTAGCTCCCGCCCTTCTTGATTGTCTGAGCTTAGAGTAGGAGCGAATGTGTTTTCTTGGGAGGGCAATAGAGCTGCATGTCTTTATGGGCTTTGGAAGAGAGAGGCTTCCTGGTGCCCGGACGTCAGAGCACAGGCTCTGAGACCTCCGGGCAGACACCGGCGTGGGGCTGGGCTGGGACAAGGCTCCCGGGCCCCCCAGAGCAGTCAGCATCCACCCTGGTCTTCTCCCCCGACCCCTGCAGGAGAACCCCTACCTGTGCAGCAACGAGTGTGACGCCTCCAACCCGGACCTGGCTCACCCGCCCCGGCTCATGTTGGACAGGGAGGATGAGGGCCTGGCCACCTACTGGCAGAGCGTCCCGTGGAGCCGCTACCCCAGCCCGCTGGAGGCCAACATCACCCTGTCGTGGAACAAGAGCCTGGAGCTGACGGACGACGTGGTGGTGACGTTCGAGTACGGCCGGCCCACCGCCATGGTCCTGGAGAAGTCGCTGGACAACGGGCGCACGTGGCAGCCCTACCAGTTCTACGCAGAGGACTGCATGGAGGCCTTCGGCATGCCCGCCCGCCGCGCCCGCGACCTGTCGGCATCGGGTGCCCACCGGGTGCTGTGCACCGAGGAGTACTCGCGCTGGGCCGGCTCCAAGAAGGAGAAACACGTGCGCTTCGAGGTGCGGGACCGCTTCGCCATCTTTGCCGGCCCCAACCTGCGCAACATGGACAACTTGTACACGCGGCTGGAGAGCGCCAAGGGCCTCAAGGAATTCTTCACCCTCACCGACCTGCGCATGCGGCTGCTGCGCCCGGCGCTGGGCGGCACGTATGTGCAGCGGGAAAACCTGTACAAGTATTTCTACGCCATCTCCAACATCGAGGTCATGGGCAGGTAAGGCCCGGGGGCGACCTGGTGCCCAGGATGTTACCTGCTTCCTGGGATATTACCAGATACCTGGAATGTTACCTGAGGCCTGGGATGTTACCTGTTTCCTGGCATGTTATCTGATACCTGGGATGTTACCTGGTACCTAGGACGTTACATGGTTCCTGGGGTAGTACCTGGTTCCTGGGACATTACCTGGTGCCCAGGATGTTACCTGGTTCCTGGGATATTACCAGATACCTGGAATGTTACCTGAGGCCTGGGATGTTACCTGTTTCCTGGCATGTTATCTGATACCTGGGATGTTACCTGGTACCTAGGACGTTACATGGTTCCTGGGGTAGTACCTGGTTCCTGGGACATTACCTGGTACCCAGGATGTTACCTGCTTCCTGGAATATTATCTTGTTCCCAGGATGTTACCTGTTTTCTGGGATATTACCTGATAACCTGGAACGTTACCTGATACCTAGGATGTTACGTGATACCTGGGACATTACCTGGTGTTACATCAAAGGGGCTACCTGCGATTTTCCATGGAGGGAGGTGAATGGTGGATGATAAATGTCCTCCGTAGGGCCCAGGCTACCTCTGGCCACAGGGCTGGGAGGTCTGGACAAGATGGGTGGAGCTGAGCAGACCTGGGCAGTGTGGGTGGGGCTTGAGCTAAAGCCTGGTGCTCAGGAGGTACAATGTAACTGGCCACGGACTCAGTGAATGGGCACTTGTGTCTGGGGGGTGACCGAGACCGCCTTCAGGCTCCAGGATTTGCTAGAAGGACTCACAGAGCCTAGCAAAGCTGTTAAACCCACCGTTGCTGTTGTTACAATGAAAGGATACAGATTACAATCGGCAACAGAAAAAGGTTCAGAGGGCAGGCCCTGGGAGATCGCAGTGCGAGCTTCCCGTCATCCTCTCCCAGTGCAGCAGCCATGTGTGACAGCACGTGTGGAGTAGCGCCAGCCAGGGGAGCTTGCCCGAGCCTGAGTATCCAGGGGTTTTGTTGGGAATTGGTTATGTAGGCGTGGCTGACTGCCCACGTGGTTGACCGTGGTCCCCAATTCCTTGACCCACAGGTCAGGCTGATACTACATGGCCCAAGGCCGCCATCATAAATCACATCATTGGCGTAAATTATCTGGAGTGGCCCAAGGCCCCAGGTAAACAAAGACTCTTATTAGGCAGGACATTCCAAGGCTCATAAACTCCTCCCAGGAGCTAGTTAAGGGCCGGACCTTTCTTTGGACTGTGTAGCGTGTGGACAACCCAACCCTGCTGAGTTATTCCTTTACTCACAGCTTTGGAGAAGATGTTTTGTGGACACTTTTGGGGGAGGCAAAAGACCATCATAGGAGGTAAAAACAGCCTTTGATTCCCAGGAACTCATTAGATTGCAAATGATAAAATGGTCGCACGCTGCCCCAGACCATCTGTTCATTCGACAGATGACCTGCTGGTCAGTAGGGGCAAGGCCTTTTTCCCAAGCCACGGATATAACACCCTGGTCTGCACTCAAGAGCGAGGCTTGGCGGGGGGAGCCCATCGCTGGTAACCAAGGGGTCAATCATAAGGGGCAGCAGCGTGTAACACAGGACCTCTCTAAGTGTGGTTCCTGAACCAGCAGCATTAGCGTCACTTGGAAACTTGTTAGAAATGCAAATTCTCGGGCCCCATGCCAGACCTGCTGTATCGTAAATCCCAGGGGTGAGGCCCAGCAATCTGTGTTTTAATAAGCTCTCTGGAGAATTCGGATACACACTCACGTTTGAGAACCACTGCTGTGACAGTTGGAGTAGGCATTCTGGAGCCAGATGGCCTGGGGTGAATTCCCAGCTCTGCCATCAACCGGCTGTGAGCCTCCGGACGAGGACCTCTCTCCGCCTCAGTTTCCCCATCCATAGAACAGGGATGATAACGAACATGCTTCTCTCATTGCATCGTGGTAAGCTAATTGAGTTAGAGTTGATGAGATACTCAGAACTACTGTGAGCTTGTGTTTATTACATCGTAGTTTAAACTACTGTGGGTTTAGCACATCACACATGCTAAAAAAGTGTTTATTGAATAAAATACATAGTGTTCAAAATAATGGCGTCCGAGAGCTGGGGCAGGTGGAGGAAGGACCAAGTTGAGACCCAAGGGTGTTGGGGCATAATTAGGGCCAGGAGCATGGCTTAGGCCAGTTTGGGCAGGGGCTGCACCAGAACCCAGCTGGGACAACATACCTTGGGCAGCCTTCCACGACAGGCTCTACAGACTGCCCGAGTATATGATTACTGATGAGTGCAAAAACCAGTTTGCTGCATGGTGTGTATAGTATAATCCCATTTTTGTAAAATATATAATATGCCCGCACACATGATTTCTCTCTTGATGTTGACATTGGAAAGAAGCTCGTTCGGGCCCGGGAGCATCCTGGATGTGGGGAAAGGCTAGAAGCTTGTGTACTAACTTCTCACTGTGGTCACACCTGCGGAGTAGGGGTGGGCAGGGGCGGTGTGGGGTTTTGGTTTTCCGCTGTGTCTGCATTTTATTTTCCTTTGACTCTGTGTGGATTCCAGGTGGGCCAAGGCAAAGGTAAGCGATTCATGAGGTGGGGTCAGTTCAAGGCCAGCAGGTGGCAGTGAGGCAGGTGCAAATGCAGGGGCCTGTGGTTCTGACACCCGTGACTCCCAGCCCACCTGCACTTGGGACAGGCTATTTTAAACCAGGAGTGGTCTGGAGACCGCCTGATATATGGCAGCTATTGCGGTAGCGGGGAGTCAAGGATCAATGTCCTGTTCCTGTTTCTCGGATCTGTGTGCAGGCTTTGGGCCGTTGGTCACCTTGGTGACCTCTGCCAGCCCTGGGGATGTGATGGTCTGGTTCTCTTAAGACCCTCCCATCCACCGACCCAACAGCTTAGCAGTCCGGAGGTAGGAACAAGATCCCCACCCCTTCTGGGGGCTGTGGCCCCTTTTCTGACCTCCTTGGGCTGCTACGGGGGTGTCCCTCATCTTCAGGAGTCTAATCAAGGGCCCGCCTGCCACTTCATTAGGCAGCTTGTGCAGGGTCCTAAGGTCCAGGCCGGCTGCAGGGTCTGCGCTGGATGGTGACAGCCAGGACCTGTAGTGCCCCTTACACTTCAGCCAGGGGTGAAGGTCATTTTTCTCTTAGGAGGGACTCTGAGATGCAGAAGTGGGGCAGATCGTATTTGGGAAGGGACAGAGGGACAGAGGTGGGCAGGAAAGAGTCTCAGCTTTTCAACCTCATCTAAATCAAGAGGGCTGTTCTGGTGCCAGGTGACCTGGGGGTCAGGTGAGCTGGGTTCCAGCCCCGCCCCTCTGCACCCCTCTCTGGACCTCAGTTTCCTGTCTGTAACCTGAGGCCTGGGGCTGCCTGGAGCCCGTGCCTCCCTGGCAACGTGGCAGGGCGGTCCCTGCCCGGCAGCTCCCAGCTCCCGCTGGCACCCAGCCTCTGTGGGTGGTGGGGATTAGCTGTAGTGGTGGTGAAAGTACGCAATCAATTCACAGATAAAGTAAGTACTCTTCAGGCGGTTGGTTGGCAGGAAAGTGGCAGCTTGGCTAATCGATTAATTAGATCCGGTCACAGATGCTTCAGCAACGGGCTGTGACTTCCTCTGCTTTTCCTTTTTAAATTCCAGGTGGGAAAGTCCAGCTGTGCCTGGGAGCCAGAGAGTCCAGAGAGGCAGGATGGGGTGGCAAAGGTGCCCGTGGGCCCACCCAGATGATGCCCTTGGTGTTCCTGAGTAGTGGCCTGAGGATCCCGGGGCTCTCAGGTGCTGGAATTTCAAACGGAACCTGTCCTGGTATTTGCTCAGAATTTCATGACCCAGAGTTACGCGGTGCCTCCCCCTGTGGCCTGCTAACAATAGTAGCTGATATTTATTGAGTGTTTGCTATGGGCTCCTTTCCTGTTGAGCAGTGAGCTAAGGGCTCACATGCATCTTAGTTAATCAATAGTCATTCACTTCCCACATGGTTATTAAATCTCTGAGACCCCACAAGCTGGAGCATTGAGCAAGCCGGACCTGATCTCCGCCCCATAGAGCCTTTCCCACAGGGATGGCATTCCCCTCCACCTTGTGTTTTTAGATAAGGAGGCCGAGGTCAGGGGACACAGTAGATCACACAGCGAAACTGAACACCAAACAGTCAAGGTCCAACCCAAGTGTGCCCAAGCTCACGTCCATCTCTCTATGGAATCTAAAGGTCTTTGATACCATGGATGCTTCCAGCCCTGACTCATGCCATCTGTTTCCAGCCAGCACGCACCTGGCTCTGGGGGAGGAGACCGTGGAGCAGACGGAGAGGCCCAGGCCCCTGGGGGTGAGGACCTGGAAGGAGAGCCAACCGCAGCCCCACAGGGCGGCGGTGCAGGGAGCAAAGTAGCCTCCGGCACCTGGAGGTCCCGGCCCACCACCGGCCTCCGCTCCCTTCAGGACCAGGCAGAACAGCCTTGCCAGTCCTGCTTACTCTGGGTCTGAGATAAAGGGAAGAGGGGGGGCCCGCCCGTTAAGCTGCTCCCATTCCTGGAAGGCTGGGAAGGGGCGGGAGCGATTTTCTCCTTCCACACACAGGGAAACTCAGGTGTGGACTGGGAGAGCGGCTGGCTTTTACTGGGCAAGTCCGGGGCGGCACCGGGTTTGAGGAGGGGTGAGATGGTGCTTGGAGAAGAGACAAGGCCCCCACCTGCACCCCCAACACAGAGGTCAAGGGCAGCCAGGCCCACATCCAACCAGCTTCATACAGGAGAGCATTTTACTTTATTTATTTCTGTTTTAAATTTTGGCTGCGTCGGGTCTTAGTTGCGGCACATGGGGTCCTTCGTTGCCGCATGCGGGATCTGGCATGCGGGATCTTCTGTTGCAGTGCGTGGGCTTCTCTCTAGCTGCGGCATGCAGACTTGGTTGCCCCACGGCATGTGGGATCTTAGTTCCCCAACCAGGGGTCAAACCCCCGTCCCCTGCATTGGAAGGTGGATTCTTAACCACTGGACCGCCAGGG